ACCATTGGGCATGCCTTGCTTCTCCTGTTTCCATCTATTCTTCAATTCAGTGTGTATTCACAGAGAGAACAACCAGCTAAACCTCCAAAATCGTGCGACCCACTTCCCCCTTTTCTCCCAAATCGTGCGACCCCCTTGCCCCTTTCCCAAATCCGAACTCCACTCAGAGATTCATAAACCCTAATCTTCTACTCCAAAATCTCCCAATTTCGAACTCCACCTTAGAGTTTTATCAACCCGTGATTTCTTCTCCAGATTCTCCCAAAATTCGAACCCCACCATAGATTTTGATAAGCCCTAGCCTCCTTCTCCAAATTCTCCCTTCTCACCCAAGTACCCTATTTCCTCTCTTCTTTCCTCTCATCTGAAAGTGAAAAACCCTTATTCGAAGAGGTTAAAGATTAAAACAAAGTGGGGCCCAAAGCTTGTAACGGAACGTCAAAATACTGATGGAACAGGTAACTTGAGACCCTTTTTTAAACGTTGGGGGGTATTTTGAGACGTTTGCAAACACAAGTGGTAATCTGAGACAAGTTGAAAAGCACAGGGGGCATGTACATAATTAAGCCAATTCAAATTATAAACATTAAAAATATTATTAGATGCAAGAAATGATGAACTATTTGAAAACATTAATTAATCAAACATCCAAACAATATGAAAGGGGCAGAGGGCGAAAAGTGTCCAACTCCACAAAGTCCACTTCAACTTTTCATCTTTAAACAACTTATTATTTTATGTGTGAAGAAATGTCTTACTTTGATTATAAGAGAAGCGTATATGTCATATGTATTGATTAGGTATCAAGTCCTATGTTGTTTAATTAATTAAGGACCCAAGTAATTTCCCTAAAATGAAAGACATAAAATATATGTTTATGAATTTAAAAAAGCATATAAACAATGACATTAGATGTCAAATTATTGCATTTTGACTTTTGAGGGAAAAAAAGAAGAGAATAAGTTAACTGGGCCGTGCTGGAAGTGGGCTCAAGCCAAGCCCGGGCCGGTCCATTGGATCTCATTTTTTGATCCCGACCAGGCCCAAGTTTTCGTGCCGTGACGATCACAGCCCATTAATATTTGTGCTTGTGCCGTGCCGTGTCGTGCCTCATTTTAATGGGCTGGGTCGTGCCTTGCAGGGCCGGGCGGTCCTGTTTGATACCTATTTGGTATGGGCTTGAACCGAGTGGTGATGGTGATAGGGCATTATGTTTTGTTCGTTTTTTTAGCTGTAATCAGTGTAACAATTCTCTATACGATTGCCGAATCGGCTTTAGTCTTTGTTTAGGTTTTAAGTTGTTTTAGTCACGTACAAAGCTACAATTTTGTCTAGAAAAAAAATAAAATAATATGCAATTTTATGTAATTAATGCCTGAAAATATGTTGGGCTCAAGCACAATGAGCATTTCCAGAATCCGATGAATGATCAGTGGCAACATCCATCATCCTCATCCACTGTTGGATTTCGTCTTCTCCAATCATTTCCTAGAATTCCTTTTCCTTTTCCCTTTCCTTCCCAATGTCCATCATTTCAATTTCCTGAAAAAATTCGTTGTTTGTCTCTTGCTCTGTAACTATGTACTAAGGTTGTGCGGGCTATGCTGGATTGGTTTCCTGGGTCAACAATGTGGTGTCGAGAAATGGAAAATTGAGCTTTGCTTTGGGTCCGCGGAACTTGATTGAGTTCTAGTCGTAAGCCCGGGCAGCCTCCTCAGCCGTCGTGAATGTGCCGAGCCAGAACCGAGTCGCCCCTCTCAAGTCTCGAATCTCCACAGCCCATTTACCCCAAGGCCTCTGCCTTACTCCCCTGTAGTTCTTCTTCACCTTCTTCTTAGGCCCCTTTTTGTTGTTGTTTGCCTTTTCCTCCTGTGCTGGTGGCGGGATAAAGTTTCACCCGAGACAGCCCTTGATTTTGCACACGTTGCAGGTGTCCAAATTGGACGGTGTCAATAGGGCGTCGTTGTAGCTCTCAAGCAGTTTGATGTTCCAGCAAGTGAATTGTCAATGGTTGTTCCCATCACATCCTTTGTGATATCATTCTTTGAATGATCCACCCAAGACCCTCCTCCAATTCAGACAGACTTCGCATCTCATCAAGGATGCAAAAATTTATCCTTGGCCCTGGTACAGATGCAGCCAATGGTGTCAAAATTGTGAATGTTAGCCTCTGTTCATGTACCAAAGCGAGAGGTGAGATCGAGGAAGGAATCTTCGCTGCACATAATTGTGATAGCACCCATTGGATGATCGTATCCAAATTCTTATTCACCTCGACTTAATAGATCTTGGAATGACAGCGGAATTACAAACCGCTTCTTCTGGCTCTCCCCAACATACACTGCAAAATAGCCTTTGGGAACATCCCAGGCCTTTGGTGCTTGGTTTTTCTTAGAATGTACAATACCAGGCAACCGGAAACCCATGGTTTAAAAATTTCTCAACAAGAAAACCAACAATGGAGATTTCAATTGACTTGTGAAACTAGAAAAACTTGTCTTGCTTTACTCCTGAATCTGATCACAAATGTGTATATATAGATAAAGGTGTGTGATGAAAGCCATCTGTTATCTCAAATGATTGGTGATAAAGAACCAAGATGGACCCAATAGCTCATGGAAAATCACATGGACTTGTCTATATAAATCCTGAGGCCAAGATAAGCCTATAAAAATTAGAGACATACTGAAGACAGGCATTTTCTTCTGCAGGTGACCCAGTACTAATTTGTGGATGAAGTACAACTTCATACTTCATTGTTATCAGTTTTCCAAACCACTTGCTACCTTTCCTACATCACTTCTTGAAATTATGTGTCCAAATTGAGAAAACGATGTGCGGGAAAGTTCACATGGCTCCGTCATCAAATTCATCACCATGTCCAAATTGGAACTTCCTTTCTGTTCAATCCCATCATGCCTAACAGTTGCTAACCACTTAAATTGAAGAGAGACAATGAAAAGCGAAACAGTTTATTTGCTTCCACACATAGTTTGCCGAAATGTTTGATGATATATATTTAGAAGACAGCACCATGTGATCCCCCACAAACCCTTGTTCCCTTTTATACCCCAACAAGATTGTATTTGTCTTTACAATATATATTTCCTTCCACAGAGCTCCTCCATGACCTTTCCACTATATATACCATATCACTGGGTTTAGGGCCACCAACTCAAGTCTACTACAAATTATCAAGTACTAAACTTTCCTTGTTTTCCATCTTCTTTGAGATCTTCTTCAAGATTTTACAAACTTGATCAATTACAAGTCTTTCCCCTCGAGATTTACATTACAACAATGGGTTTCCGTCTGCCAGCAGTAATTCCTGCGAAGAAGCTTCTTCGGCGGTCTTTTTCAAATACAAACAGAGGAGCTTCATGCAGTCTAGCAGATGTCCCAAAAGGTTATTTTGCAGTTTATGTTGGGGAAAGTGAAAAGCAGCGATTCGTGGTTCCTATATCATTCCTCAACAAGCCTGCATTTCAAGACTTGCCAAGTGAGGCTGAAGAAGAATTCGGATTCGATCATCCAATGCGTGGTCTAACAATTCCCTGCAGACAAGATGCCTTCCTCGATCTTATTTCTCACTTGAATGCAAATGCTTTGTGAGATTGGATGATGGAGAGCAATTACATGAACTGTGTGATTGTTACATTTTTGTACAATATTGCCTCCCTCTCTGGATTTTGTAAATAGAGCTAATATTGTAGCCACTTGTAATTAGAAAGTCATAGCTCTTTTACCCTATAGAAACATCTTTTATTATCTCTTGCTGATCTTTTTTCATTTATCCATTACATTACATGTACATTTATCCACAAAGGTTTCTTTTTCTGTTTCTTGGTGTTGTCATCTGTTCATGAGCGCATCAAAAAGTTTCTTGCTCGATCTGATTTAACCACAAAGGTTCTCAGTCAGTGCACCATGCATGTACATTTATCCATTAAATTTTAATTACTAAGGAATTTATATATTAAGTTTTTCTCTTTCCTCTTCTCATCAAGAAGTATCTTGTCTCCAACAAAAACAATAGGCCAAAAGTCGACTTTTGGTCTCTGTAGTTTGCCTCTTTCTCACTTTTGGTCCATGTAGTTTCAATTTGGTCAATTGTGCTCTTGTAGTTTCAATTTGGTCAATTGTGCCATTGTAGTTTCATAATGATAGTAATTTAAGGACAAATCACGAATTCCATCAATTTCTTTCACGGAGTTGGGTGTATTTCCATTCATTTCTGAAATTTATCTCACCCTTATATGATTTCTGATAATAATTTATCAAAGATAAATCATAAATGATTAGACATATAAGTACAATGGAAAGTTTTGGAGTATGATACAAAAGCACACTACTAAAAAAAGGCCAAAAGACATTCAGTGCTATCAGTCCCTTTTGCATTCTTTTGGGACTGAAATAGGCACTGGCTTATAACAATATCTTTTACATGGGTACTCTATTGATAATATGGCACGGTAATGAAAATCAGTGCCGTATTTTACATTAGGTCCCACATATTTCTAATATCCATCATGCGTACATGTATATCATTTTGATGAAAATACATCCGTCCCCAAATCCCTTTTGTTGGCATGGAAGATTCATCAGTCCCTAAAAAGCATAAACCTTATTTTTTTTTTAATATCTGATTGTCCCATATCTCCTTTGTTGTTTAAATATGTTTAAACATCCTTTTTATTTTTTTCCCTTTCAGTTTGCAATTCATTGGTTTTTCATTTTCTCAAAACCTGCTACTAAATGTATTTAATACAAAAAAAACCCTATAATACCTATCCTCAGGGCTTAGGGCATGCTTAATAATGTTGTGGACCGCATCACCTAAGTTATATTCAATCGCTTTAATGCCTTACTTAATTACAAGCCTACAATATAAGGCTCAACAATTACAACATTTGGTGTAAACTCTTATGAGTATTTACATCATTCCATTTTTTTTCCATGTGGGACTATAGCATCTGAATTTTTAGCGTCCTCAGCCCTTGCTCTATATTTTCCGCACCCGTTTAACTTCTTCCGCTAGATGCCCTTCATCAAAATGAACCGTGCTTTGTGCTCAGATAAAAATACATAATAAAACAGAAGACTCATCATAATTTATATATTATTAGGTTGTGACTTGTGAGCTAACGTGGCATTAAGATTATAAACAAAATATTGGAAATATAACGTCTGCTCATCATAATTTATCCCGAAAATCCAATTGGTCCACGTCATCAATCCGCAACTCACAAACTCAACCAATCAAATCCCACCGCCTCCGCCTATATAAACAGAACCCCAAAACTCATTCTCACGATCACAACCTTCGTTCCAAAAGCCAGCCGAAATTTGATAATGGCACCCAAGGCAGAGAAGAGGCCAGCGGAGAAGGGTCCTGCAGAGAAGAAGCCTAGAGCCGAGAAGAAGCTCCCGAAAGAGGCCGCTAGTGGCACTGAGAAGAAGAAGAAGAGGTCGAAGAAGAGCGTTGAGACCTACAAGATCTACCTCTTCAAGGTGCTGAAGCAGGTTCACCCTGACATTGGGATCTCGGGCAAGGCCATGGGGATCATGAACAGCTTCATCAGCGATATCTTTGAGAAGCTGGCTCAGGAGTCTTCGAGGCTCTCAAGGTACAACAAGAAGCCGACCATCACTTCGCGGGAGATTCAGACCGCCGTGAGATTGGTGCTGCCTGGTGAGCTCGCGAAGCACGCCGTCTCTGAGGGCACCAAGGCGGTGACCAAATTTACCAGCTCTTAAGGGCAATTTGGGGATTTATTATTTTTGTCATTGGGAATTGAATTAGGGTTTTTAGTTGTAAAGACTAAATTTGGGGTTAGGTTTAGGGTATTTTTTTGGGAATTAAATTGGAACATTTGCTAGATGATTTCTGGATTGAAGATCTCGAAATGTTAATTAGATTGTTCTTGTTTTAGATCATATATATTGTGCTTAATGATGTGTTTGGAATTGGAACTCGGGAAATGCTTGACAAGTAATTTTAAGTTGGATCCAACGTTCCCTGATTAGCAACGTCTGCCATGTCTGGAATGCTGTATAAACTCCCTTACATGAGGAACATTTGAGGGTGTGCTGCTCAAATCTAAATCCGCAAAACAAAATTATAAATAAAAACCAAATTAAATTATCCGTCAAAGAGCAGCTTCACATTGAATTTGTTTAGTTTGCTTCTCAAGAAAGGAAACAACTGCTTATCACCAAGCCACTCACAGAGTGAGCTACAAGCCAACGCTACAAGGCTTAGCCTCCATGTCCCATGATACCCAATCACTTTAATGCCCGGCTTAGTTACAAGCCAACGCTACAGGGCTCAGCGATTATAATATTTGGTGTAAGCCCTTGGGACTCTAGCATCTAAATTGTAAGCGTCAGTGGTTGCTCTATATTTTCCCCACCTGTTTAACTGCTTCTGCTACATGCCCTTCATCAAGATGGATCATGCTTTGTGCTCAGATAAAAATAGAGATATTTAGTCAAATACCCATTCTTAGCACTAAAACTATAAATAAACCCTACACTATTTAATTTCTATAAACAAACCCAAAAAAAACCCAAAAAATGACATTTGGCATTATTGAATTGAATTTTGATTATTAAATTACTTTGATGCCCTATTGAGTATTTTGGGCTTTTTTATATGTTTTGGGATTGGGTTTGTTTTGAGAAATTAATGGCAGTTTTGTAATTTAAAAGAAGTTAAAAGTCTTTTTGTTATGTTGTAAATGGGCTTTGGGTGTGTTTCTAAAGTCCATTTCATATAGGGTATTTTTATAATTTAGGCTCCTATATTGGGTATAATAGTGAATCTCCCATAAAAATACAAGGTAAAACAGAAAAGACTCATCATAAATTATATATTAGTTTGTGAGCTAACATGACATTGGATTTTAAATAACATATTAGATATTTCTAATATAGTAATGTCTCAGCTAGATGGTTCGTAGACCTTGTCAATGGGTTGTGAAAGCGTAACTCAAGAAACGTGTTCAGTTTTCAATTATCTACTCTGAAAATTTCTAGCTGCAAGAAAATAAGGGGTGATTTCATATATGGTGAAGAGACTATGATTATGTAATGAAAAGGTTCTCTAATCTCCATTTGCATCCGTCAGGGGAGAGTAAATTTTAAACTACCCATGGAAAAGAAAAAAATGAACAAAGATGGAAATAGTTTCGTGTACAGAACTGTCATGTAATTCGTTATGTACTCCCACTCACTTGTTGAAATTGGCTCAAATTTGGCATGTGGGTCAATATTGGTTTGCCATTGGAGTTGCCCATGTGAGTAAATGTTGGCTTGCTATGAGGTCAAAATATGTGGCTAGTTTGGTAGCCATCCATTGTTGAGTTTGGTAGCCAACATATGAATAGTTGAAGCTTGCATTCACACTCTTGCATCTTTGGCTATAAATTGGAAGCAAATGGTTTCATTTGTAGCATCACAACCAAGTGTGAGAAGAAGAGAAAAATTGTTCTTTCTTTTCAATTATTGTGAGAGTGTGACTTGGGTGTATTTGGGATTTGGGTTGTGAGAGTTAAACTCTATAATTCCTAGGATAGGTGAGAGTGTTTAATCTCATTTGTTTGTAATCTCTTTTGGGATACTAGTGGAATTTCTCGCTGTCTTCGAACTGGATGTAGGCTACACTATGCACTCAAGTGAGAAATCGGATCAGTGAATGAACGCATCTTGTTTGCAGGAATGACGAACCGCTGCCTCTGGCTCTCTCCAACAAAAACTACAAAATAATACCTTTTGGGTGTTGGAGCTTGTTGATTTGTATATTTGAAAAGGACCGCGGAAGAAGCTGCTTCATGAGGGATCACATGGTATTGTTGAAGGCTTATGTGTGGGGAAATATATAGTTGAAGGCTTATGTGTGGGGAAGACTATTATTTGGATAGGGTATAGAAGGAAGACTGACTCATGAGGGATCACATGGTATTGTCTTGTATCTTCCACCTCAATTTAGCTGAAATATGTGGACCAGAGGGCTGCCTTGTTGGTGGATTAGTAGCAGCTAATTACTTGTTAGGCATGACCATTCAATCACCACCAAGGTCTTGATGATGAATTGGAAGACAAGACCATGTGAAATTTCAAATGCTTGTTTCTCTTGTTCATCACCATTCAATTTCTCCAAACCACTCATTCCAACTTCAACAGATTTTCTAGCAAACCCCTTTTGTAAATAATTTGTATCATAGTTTTTTTAATTACTTCTGCGGGTCTTCGGCTCTCGGGGCAGTTTTTAAGAGAGGTATGACATTGTGTTTCTTTGTTTGGGTCATTGACTTGTCAATTTTGCTTCATTACTTGTAAGACAAGGCCATGTGATTTTCCATGAGCAAATGTCTCTCACTTGGGTCCATCCCAGAGCTTCATCACCAATCATTTTGGGTAACAGTTAGCTTTTGGGTTCACATTTTATCTATATATAATCAGATTCAGAAGCAAAGCAACACATCTCTTGTATTTACCAAACATATCCTATCAAAGCTCTCTCTGTTTCTCAGTTCATTTGAAACTCTTCCTTCTTGGTGTTCATATTCAGAAATTTTGAGAACTATGGGTTTCCGGTTGCCTGGTATTGTTCATGCTAAGAAAAACCAAGTAACCTCAACTTCAAAGGCCTTGGGTGTTCCTAAAGGCTACTTTGCAGTTTATGTTGGGGAGAACAAGAAGAAGCGGTTTGTGATTCCGGTATCTTATTTGAACCAACCTTCATTCCAAGATTTGTTAAGTCAAGCTGAAGAAGAATTTGGATATGATCATCCAATGGGTGCTATCACAATCCCCTGCAGTGAAGATGCCTTCCTTCATCTCACCTCTCGCTTCGGAGTGTGAGCAGAAGCAACTAACTTACATTCATAGGCACATTTTTGACACCATGTGCTGCAGCTGCGCCAGAGGCACTTACTTGTTTACCCAATTTTTAAACCAAGCATCTTTCAGCATATGTTGAGTCATGAAGAAAAATTCAAACTGCTTGTGAGCTGAGGATATCATGGCCAGCCCTGCAGATATAACCCCGCTGACACCATCTGCCAAGATTTTAATTCGAATTTGAACTACATCAGGGATTGTTCATTGCAATCCAATGTACTTATTTGTTCTGGAAACATAATTGAGAATGAGATACTTCTTTCTTCACCTGTTCAATTCTTGTTTAATATTCTTGCATCACACGGATGTACGTAATTCCCCGTGACATCAATGTGTGCATGTTCTGTTGTTCCAATTTCACAAAGATACCAACAAAACAATTGAAAACTAAAGAATACCCAAGAATAATATACACATTGTTGAAATCACAAAATTGTATTATTATATTCATCTAAAGAAAGAATGGCTATTAATGAAACAGTACATGAATTTACACTCACAAAGGAAAGTAAGAAAAAGTTCTGTGAACAATGCCAAAGTTGCTTGATTTACAAAATTGTAACCACTAATAGATGTTAAGTCAGAAGATCAAAAAAAAAAAGGGATGAATGTAACACCACACATAGGATTGTCAAATCCAAAGTCCCTCTTCAGCCTCAGTTAACAACAGCAAGGATATCCTTTTATATAATTGTGGAGTGAAAGCTATATAGCAACAAATTTTCTAACAGAACAAGTCCTATGCAGAAGACGGAAATGAAATTTGGTATTTCATTTGTGACTTTCGTGAAAATCTGCTGCTTATGGTGATTCTTACTTGCATTATTTGGCTACCAGAATCTAATAAGAAAGTAGTATTCTCAATTTATCTATCAAGAAAACCTAATTACATGGGGTTGAAAATAGAAAATCCTGATATGTATCTATCAAATTCATAGGTTCTGTGAACATATGACTGCTGGGGCTTGCCTTTTGATCCTCACCTGTCAGGCAGTTTGATCTTCCAGCCAGTGAATTGTCAAAGGTTTTTGTCCATGACACCCTTTGATGTGATATCATTCTTTGAATGATCAATCCAAGACCCTCCTTCAGTTCAGCCAGACTTTCCATCTCCTCAAGGATGCAAACATTTATCCTTGTAGACAAGTAAGTGACCCTGGTACTGATGCAGCCACTCACTGGTGTCAAAATTGTGTCCATAGACATTGGAATGTTAGCCACTGTTCATGTACCAAGACGAGAAATGAGATCAAGGAACGAATCTTTGCTGCATGGAATTGTGATAGCACCCATTGCATGATCATATCCAAATTCCTCTTCAGCTCGACTTAACAAATCTTGGAACAAAGGTTGGTTCAAGTATGATAGTGGAATCACAAACCGCTTATTCTGGCTGTCCCCAACATACACTGCAAAATAGCCTTTAGGAACGTCCGAAGCCTTTGAAGGTGCTTGATTTTTCTTAAAATGTACAATACCAGGGAACCGGAAACCCATGGTTTAAAATTTCTCAACAAGAAAACCAACAATGAAGATTTCAGTTGACTTGTGAAACAGAGAAAGCTTTACTTGGGAGTTAGGAACTAGTAAACTCGTGTTGATTTACTCCTGAACCTGATCATATATATATATATATATATATGTAGATAAAGGTGTATGCTGAAAGCCATCTGTTATCTAAAATGATTGGTGATGAGGCAATTTCGACTGAATGAATGGTCTTTGAGCCAATTGAGTGGGTCTTGGCAAGAGACACTAGCATTGTAAAGTTCACATGGCGATAAGAATACCAATAGGTTTTTTTTATCAAACTTTCAGATTCCCAAGCCACTTACTGAGCCAATCACTTCAAGAACATGCCCAATTAAAAAACATTGGAGAAATGAGAATAGGGTGGTTCCATCTCCATCTCTGGAAAACAGTGGGCTGACTATATGTAATTTTAGTATTATATTGTGTGACCCATCATTCCAAGTTGGCTATGCGAGTCTCTGACAGTGTGAGGGTGCCAGAGTTCAACAAATTTCCAAGGTACAAGTTGGACATCACCCATCAATCAATATGGAGAAGAAATTATGTGCCACTCTCTCCTCTATATAAATAAGCACACACAATTCACAAACCATAAACCAAGCCTCAAGAAAAAACTCAGTTTCTTCTGAAAATTGTGTTCAACTTTCATCAATTTTTCTCCATCTGCTCAAGCTTCATTTGGTTAAGTTAAAATGGGCATTCGTGTAGCAGACATAGTTCTTCATCATGCTAAGCACATTGTCCGTAGACATAAAAGGTCTGATCAATTCTTACATCAAGCATCATCAACAACAACAACAACATTGGATGTTCCAAAAGGCTGCTTTGCGGTTTATGTTGGAGAGGAAGAAGAGAAGACGAAGCGGTTTGTGATTCCAGTTTCCTACTTGAACTGCCCTTCATTCCAAGACTTGTTGAGTAAGGCTGCAGAAGAGTTTGGTTTTGATCATCATCAAGTGGGTGGTCTTAGAATTCCTTGCAGTGAAAGGCATTTTATTGACCTCTTACATAGATAGATCCCGAGGATAGAAAGTTATTCTAGATAGTTCGTGGTTATGTAAATGATTGAAGAATTCCATATAGATACATAGTCTTGTCGCTTGAATAGATATCTTTAATGCTACATGTAGAATGGTTAAACGTTATGAAATTCTGACCCAATGGTATGCTCTAATTTTAGGGAGTTTCACTAAAACACCCAAAATGGGGGCTGAAATTATAAAAAAACCCAACACTCAAAACACTTTATAAACACACTCAAAACCCATCATTACACACACTCACATTACCCTATTAGAATTCAAGAAAAATGAGATTGAAGAAGATATAGTTTTTAATTTTGGGTCTCTTCAATTAATTCAACAGCAAAACTGATGCTAGCTCTACTCAGTAGTTAAGTCCTGCCAAACTGGGAGAGAGTAATTGGTTTAGACGAAATAAATTTGAAAATCAAATTAATTATTACAGATCCTTTGGGTTGGTTTTTACAATGAAAGCAGTGTTTTTGAAATAACCAATACTGATTTTTTTTTTTTTTTTTTTTTAAGAAAATATGTGTTTTTAGATCTTATGTAAAGAAACACCTTGAATATTTCTTAAACAAAGAGGCGTTTCACCAGAAACGCTTCCAAGGAGGAGGTTCAGCATTTTTGAGAATCTAGTAAAGGGGTAATATATCCCTTTAAAGTCCACTTCTCACTGACTTAAATAAATTAGATTGATTTCTACTTGATTCTCATAGATAATAATTTGAGCATTCGTATTAGAAGAACATAATAAAGTAGTAGTATTTTCTTAGTATTTTCAAAGTAGTAGTATTTGAGCATTCGGCAATATGTAACCTCTCAACAGCTCCCTTGAAAGGAGTCGAACGTAATAAAGTAGTAATATTTTCTTAGTATTTCCTGTTTTGTTTCCTTTTCTTGTTTGTACGGTACCCGTGCTTAAACAAGTAAATGAATAGACTCCACCAATGCCTTCCGAACGGTGAGAACCAGTTCGCACGTATCAGTATCGGTAAACATTCGTATATAACCGTATAGATGTCTCCAAAAACCCCATTACCTTTTTTCTTTTTTTGTTGTACGTAACAGAAACGTACGGAGAGGCTACTTCTTGAATTATGAAAAGGAACACTATTACAGAATAAAAAGATTTCATTTCTCTTCCATTTCATTTTTTTCAATTGTACATATGGCTAGCTGAAAATGGAGCTTGTACCAGTAAAATGACCAGGGATTTATATATAAAAATTGTGTAACCAACGGTGAGAATAAGTACAAGCAGGTACAGATGGAATTTCCAGCATCATCCATGGCCTAAGACACTGGAGAGCGCATAATGCTAACTGGCAACCTGCTGCAATGGAGGCCAAGCAATTTCATCATCATCTGTGTGACCCTGAATGAGAAAATCAGCACAATTCTTCCTGCACCCATGGTTATATGGGTTCCGGAACCGCCCATCTGGACCACGCAGATACCCATAACGAATAGCATTCGCCAATTCATTGGTGGTGATATTTCGAGCTATCTGATTCACAGATATGAAAAATACGTTATCTATATATACTTACTACCTTGAAGGAGTTTAAAAGATGATAATTGTAAATACATCTGTATAAATTCACAGCTTATGAAGGGATCAAAAATCAAAACATACCAAAGTCGAGGAACAAGAAAGTAAGGAAAATTAATTTTGAACCTAAAAAAGATGTAGAGCCATTTTGCATCATCCAATTGATTCATTAATCCATGTCAGCCATTTTCGTTTCTCTAGTTAGCATTCGGTTACATGATGCTAAAAGGGACACAATTCAAGAACTTGTACGGTACCTTCACTTTCCTACAAATTACCTAATACGTAAGCTTGTAATTAAGGCA